ATAAGACAAGGCGACGTTATATCCCAAAAACTCTTCACCGCTGCATTGGAAGACGTTTTCAAACTACTGGACTGGAAAGGATACGGTATAAAAATCAATGACGAGTACACCCCTCACCTTCGATTTGCCGACGATATCGTCCTTATGGCAGAATCGCTGGAGTACCTAAGCACTATGCTCAATGACCTCAATAGTGTCTCCCAACTGATAGGTCTTAAGATGAACATGAACAAAACAAAGATCATGTTTAATGTCCATGTCACACCTATGCCGGTAGTTGTTAGGAGCCCTAAGCTCGAAGTCTTTGACGAGTATGTTTACTTGGGACAAATAGTCCGACTAGGTATCGACGTATTCAACTCCGTTGGACAGTGTTCGGAATATTACGGCACATCTTCTCATCAGGTATACCTCAAAACTTGAAAACGAGACTGTACAACCAGTGCATATTGCCAGTGATCACCTATGGAACTGAGACCTGGTCCTTCACTGCTGGCCGGATAAGGATGCTGAAGGTTGCTCAGCGAACTATGGAGAGGGCTATGCTCGGAGTTTCTCTACGTGATAAACTTAGAAACGAGGATATCCGCAGTAGAACCAGAGTGACCGAAATAGCCAAACGGATTAGTAAGCTGAAGTGGCAATGGGCCAGCCAATGATACTAAATCTTAGTTAAATATTGATATTCTTGAACAATGTTCGAAACTAAATAATTTCAAGCACAAGACTTGACCTAATGATAAGGTGTAAGATTATTGATACAATAGATTTGAAGTATCATTATATGTTTCTAATCATTCCGTTACAATTTTGCTAGAAATTATGAAATGTATAGATTAGCTGTCGTGTTCAGTATTGCAAATACAAGTGCATCTAATTATAATAGATTTAAAGAAAGAAAATCGTATCATCAATCGTAATCGTATCGAATCGAAATCGTAAAAATAGGTGTTTGCGTCGCTTTTGTCCTAGTAGTAAAATAATATTGCTTCATTTTAGATGTTTAATTCAAACATTACCAACTAAAACACCTATCTATTTTTGGGATCACGATTTAAAACGATTTGTTTCTAATTTTTTCACGGCTCATTTACACTTGTCAGTCTACATACACTTATGTATTAGAAAAAAAATAAACGAATCCGTCTAGATAAATCGTCAGGACGAATTATCTTGCCATTCTTTGCTCTCTAGAGATAAAGTGACAGATTTTGCACAACGATAGAGAGAGCTATATAGTGATAGATAGATTGTTGCGCTGGGAAATTACAAGATTATGTAAGTTCTGAAAAAAGAAGGAGAACATGGTAACCTTCGAATCCGGAAACACCGGGAGGGTGACCTTCTGTTCTAAGGAAGTGTCGAATTATAACATAATATCGTCCACAATGCTCTCATTAACTGATCTGATAGTTTTTTGACATAGGTCATGACCTTATACTCTAAATCACTAAATGGTATTTGTTAAAGGTCATACAGATTTACGCACTAACCGATGATTAATTAACAGATCGCAATGTAGATGGCGAGACAATGTATGAGAATATGTAAAGTGTTGATGAGAGACTTCATTTCAAAATTAGGCGCTATAAAGGACGGTGAGCTGAAGGCACAGTAATTTGAAATATGGCAATGGAACGCAGGGAGTTATCAGCTGACCGACTTTATGAATAAAAATCTCTTTATGATGTTCTCTTTTTCCAGAAGCGTCCCCACATGAAGTGCCAACTTTATGTCGGGCCGTTTTTTCGTAAACTGTAGGTCCAACCCCGACAGTATTCCAAAAAATAAGATTGTCTTCATTATAACGACCAGGCAACAATTTTTTCGTGATATCCCAGTGATCGCGAGTGTGAAAACTGGTTGCGATCACTCTTATCCAAACCCCGAAAACTTTCAGCTCGAAATAAAGACTTGTCCTCCAACAATAACCTCTTGTAGTCGTAAGAAATTAAGAAATATAATTGTATTTTATGAACAAAATCGAGACGTTGACTTTTGACAACTTGGCAAGAAAGAAGACAATATGTGTATCTTCATATTACTCGATATTAGCCTAACTTTCTTCGGCACACTTTATGACGTTATTTAGAAGTGAAATATATGTCAAGTAATTTCTTACCTTTTGGACTTTAAAATAGAAAACTAGGCCGCATGTATAATAAAGACCTATTTTAGGCAGATGGGGAAAAAAGATGAAAAAAATAATTACACGAAATGTATCTGCTAGCGTGGGCAGTTATAGACAATGCTCAATGAAGATAATCCATACTAATATTATAAATGCGAAAGTGTGTTTGTTTGTTTGTTTGTCCTTCTTTCACGTCGCAACAGAGCGTCGGCATGGCATGATTTTATGTATGGGTGGCTGTAGAGTGACATAGGTTACTTTTTACCGCGGAAAAACATCTCATTCCCGTGGGAAAATAGAATATGTTGCAAAAGTTTGTCCTTTTTTCACGTCGCAACAGAGCGTCGGCATGGCGTGTATTTTGGTATGGGGATAGTTCGGTGGCTGTAGAGTGACATAGGCTACTTTTTCCGCGGAAAAACATATCAATCTCGTGGGAAAATTAAATTCAGCTAGGTGGCGCCACCGTGATTTTACAAGACGAACGACGGTACGATGGACGAACACAGAAGGTCAGAATATCTGGATTATTATGTCTTTTTACCAAAATTCAAATGTATGGAGTAACAAAGGAGCCTACTCCGAACAAAAAAGTATCGTGTATGGACTTTTATGCGTATCATATGATGTTGCGCGAAAATGATTTTAACCACTTAGCACAGCACAGTAGACAATTATTTTCATAAATTTTTGGTAGACATGTATGTGAAGGTAGAAAGTGAACTTCTCCGTTATATATCTTTAAATCAAAAAAAGCTACGCGTTGAGAATTATATACATTTACAAGATGCAGTTTCTAGCGACGCCTATGTAAACCCCAGAGATTTATAGGTAAAATGGTAATTCTGCCCTCATCATTCGTTAACAGTCCCCGCTACCTACATGAGTACACACAAGACGCATTCGCCTATGTAGGAACTTACGGAAGACCTGATCTTTTTGTTACTTTTACTTGCAATCCCACATGGAAATAAATAACCGAGGAGCTAATGCCGGGCCAAAAAAGTACTGACAGACACGATTTAGTTGCTAGAGTATTTAGATTAAAAGTACAAAAATTAATGTAAGTAATTAACAAAGGGAAAATTTTCAGAGAGGTGCAGTGCTTCATGTATTCAATTGAATGGCAAAAAGGAAGATTACCGCATGCCCACATTCTAATATGGCTTAAAGAGAAGTTGCGGCCCAGGCAAATAGACGACATAATAAGCACCGAGATTCCGGATCCTGAGCAAGATAAAGAATTTTATGATACCATCGTCGGAAATATGATTCACGGTCCAAGTGAAGCATGAAATTCAATATCGCCATGTATGAAAGAAGGAAAATGTACAAAGAAATTCCCTAAACAGCTATTAAAAGAAACAGTGCATAATGACAATGGCTACCCTTTATACAGACGCAGAGCTCTCGAAGATGGTGGCGGGAAAGTTACAATCAAATCTCGCTCTGGAGCGTTCGAAACCTTAGATAACAGCTGGATTGTCCCGTATTCGCCCATTCTATGTAAAATGTTTAATGCCCACATTAATGTAGAAGCATGTAGCTCTGTCCGCGCAATCAAGTATATCTGTAAGTACATAAATAAAGGAAGCGACCAAGCAATATTTAATCTCAGGAGTGAAAGTGAGGCAAATCCCGTTAATAAAGTACAGACCTTTCAAGCAGGGTGTTATGTCAGCAGTAACGAGACAGCGTGGCGTCTCCTTGGCTTCCCTTTACACGAAAGGCACCCAACAGTTACTCACCTTGCTGTGCACTTAGAAAATGGAGAGCATGTATATTTCACCGAAAGAAATTTCCAAGAAAGAATTGCATCACCGCCAAAAACTACACTAACAGCCTTCTTTCAACTTTGTCAAACCCACCCCTTTGCAAAAACGTTGTTATATTCTGAAGTCTCCCGCTATTATACTTGGAACACATCTAGAAAGGAGTGTCGTATAGTTGCAAATTGGCCCAGTGTAAAGTCATCAGATGCCCTTGGTCGTGTGTATACTGTCCATGTAACTAAGTTTGAATGTTTCTGTTTACGATCGCTGCTGCACCATGTTCGGGATCCTACAGGATATAAAGACCTTAAAACTGTCAACGGTCAGGAATGCACAACTTATAGAGAAGCATGTGAAGCTCTGCATGTTTTAGAAAACGATAATCACTGGGATGAAACCATGGAGGAAGCTGTGCAGTGCCAGTCACCAGCCAAAATTAGGGATCTTTATGCAACTCTCATATCATCTTGCGGGCTATCTAATGCACATGAATTGTGGGACAAATATAAAGAGTACATGGCGGAAGATATTTTGCGAAGGTCAGCAGACACACGCGAACATGACATACAATGAACACATTTATAATGAAGCACTTGGAAAAATTGAACATAAATTAATGGCAATGGTAGGCAAAAAATTAAGCGACTTTGGAATGATAAGCCCTCAGCGAACAACCGAAAATGAACTAAATTATGAAATTATACGTGAAACAAACTACGATATACCAGCTTTGCAGCAACAAGTAGCCGAATTTGTACCCCGCTTGCTTCCCGAACAAAAACGAGTTTTGACAAAGTACTAGGACAAATTGAATCTGGAAATGGTGCACTTTTCTTTTTAGATGCCCCTGGAGGAACTGGGAAGACATTTTTGTTAAATTTATTATTAGCGCAAGTACGGAAAGATAAAAACATTGCTGTGGCCGTAGCTTCCTCCGGTATAGCCGCCACGCTGCTAAGCGGGGGCCGCACTGCACATTCTGTTTTAAAACTCCCTCTAAATCTAGCCCAGGTAGAATCCGATCTGCAACTTTAGCAAAAATAGTGCACGAGGTATAATGCTACGACAATGCAAACTTTTAGTGTGACAAAAGTACAATGTCGCATAAAAAAGCTGTAGAAGCACTAAATCGAACGCTCCAGTATTTGCGCAGCAATACCTGTGTAATAAATAATGTAATGGGAGGAATGGTGGTTTTACTGGCTGGTGACTTTCGCCAAACTTCACCTGTCATTCAAAAGGGCACACCTGCAGATGAAATTAAAGCATGCCTCAAGTCGTCTATTTTATGGAACAAGGTGACAAAATTCAGTTCAACTACGAATATGAGAGTGCATTTGTATAATGATATCAATGCTAGAAACTATGCTGACACACTATTAAAAATTGCCGATGGGCGGTTGGAAACGGATGCTGAGGGCTGCGTTAAATTGACGAGAGATTTTTGTAATTTAGTACAGAATCATTCCGAATTAATTGCGAGCGTTTATTCAGATTTAACGAACAACATGCAAGAAGACAAATTGTTATGTGAAAAGGCGATTCTTGCACCAAAAAATGAGAGCGTTAACAAAATAAATTCAGATATATTAAGCGAAGTAGCAGGAGAAATAACAGAGTATTTGTCAGTAGACACAGAACAGAGCACTTCATATCCCGTAGAGTTATGGTGGTAGAGCCTTGTAGCAGCTTTTGCTGTTGCACGTATGGGCCGGCTCGAGCCGGGTTAGTACCACGACCTCACAGAATACCGGCGTGAAGTGGAAGCTCTGCTTCCGCGTTTTGTCTGGTGAGTGCAGGTGACCGGAGGCCCAATTCCCCCCCCCCCCCCCCATCAACATGGTAGCGGAATTACGTCATAAACTACCCCAGGAGGGTACCAGTACCCCTGGAGAATCCCTCGCTGAGCATCCACGACCATGCTATTCTACTCCTGAGCGTGGGTGCTCAGGCTGCCCCGCGTATTCTGGGGGGGGCAAAATTCCGCTCAACACAAAAACTGCTCGGGGCAAACTGAGCAACAAGACCAAGGCGACCCCTGCCACGCTATCCGTGAATTTCTGCAACATCAGGGGACTTCACTCGAACCTAAACGCCGTCCACTACCATCTTGAGACGGCGAAGCCGGCCTTGCTCTTTCTGACCGAGACGCAGGTGTCCTCTCCGGCTGATACTTCGTATCTCTCCTACCCGGGGTACAAATTGGAGCACTCCTTTGTGCCTCGGGCTGGAGTTTGCGTGTATGTCAGAGAGGACATCTGTTCTCGACGCCTCGGCAGTCTTGAAGGTTCGGACCTGTCCATCCTTTGGCTACGCGTGGACAGCGACGACCATCCGCGCGTCTACGCGTGCCTCTATAGGTCCCATAGCGGTAATGCCGAAACAGACCGACTCATCGACCACGTCCAAATGGCTGCAGATTCCTTGCTACAACAGGTCCCATCCGCAGAGATCGTGATCCTTGGCGATTTTAACGCCCACCACGCCGAACGGCTCGGTTCACGTTTAACCGATCATGCGGGGAGATCTGTTTATGACTTTGCCTTGGCATATGGTCTGACACAACTGATTACATCGCCTACGCGGATTCCAGATGTTGAGGATCATACACCTTCCCTGTTGGACCTTCTGCTGACCTCTCATCCGGACGGATATCAGGTTTCCGTCGATGCCCCTCTTGGCTCTTCGGACCATTGTCTGATCCGGAGTGTGGTGCCACTCACGCTCCCCTCGCGGTTGCGTTCTGAAGGTTGCCGCCGTGTTTGGCATTACAGGTCGGCGAATTGGGACGGAATGCGGTCTTTCTTTGCTTCCTACCCATGGGGGCGGGTTTGCTTCTCGCCGGATGATCCCAGCGCTGTTGCTGACTCTGTCACTGATGTGGTGCTACAGGGAATGGAACTATTTATTCCATCATCTGTGGTACCCATCGGAGGCAGATCTCAGCCTTGGTTTGGTCGCTCCTGTAAGACTGCATTACGCAGTAAGCAGGAGTGTTATCAAGCCTGGGCTGCAGCTTCGATGACTCGGGATGTAAACACCAGCATACTCAAAAAGAAGTATAACTTCGCCTCCAGGTCCTTCAAAAGAGTTATTGCCAAGGCAAAGTCAGAGCACATAGGCAGAATTGGCGAGAAACTAGTTCGCCTTCCTTCGGGAACCCGTGCATTCTGGTCTCTCGCCAAGGCTGTCCAAGGGAATTTCTGTAAGCCATCACTACCATCTCTGCACAGGGAGGACGACTCACTGGCCCACGACGCAAAAGAGAAGGCCGACCTTTTAGGCTCCCTTTTTGCGTCCAACTCGACTGTTGATGACGGGGGGAACACACCGCCGACCATCCCGCGGTGTGAGTGCTCCATGCCGGATGTGCGGTTCTCACAGCGCTCGGTTCGCAGAGCACTCCTCTCCCTTGACATCCACAAGTCGAGTGGGCCTGACGGAATCCCCCCAATTGTGCTGAGGACGTGTGCTCCGGAGTTGGCACCGGTTCTAACGCGTCTTTTCCGGTACTCCTACTCCCTAGGCGTAGTCCCGAAATCATGGAAGACAGCTTTTGTCCACCCGATCCCTAAAAAAGGCGACCGCTCAGACCCGTCCAACTACAGGCCTATCGCCATCACCCCCTTGTTCTCCATAATAATGGAATCCATTATTAACTGCCAGCTCATCCGGTACCTTGAGGATCACCAGCTGATTAGTGACCGCCAATACGGTTTTCGTCGGGGTCGATCAGCTGGTGATCTTCTGGTCTACCTGACCCATAGATAGGCGGAGGCAGTAGAGTCCAAGGGGGAGGCGTTGGCCGTTAGTCTGGACATTGCGAAGGCCTTCGATCGGGTTTGGCACAAAGCGCTTCTTTCGAAGCTCCCTTCCTATGGGCTTCCCGAGAAATTATGCAATTGGATCACCAGCTTTCTTGCAGATCGGAGCATCAAGGTCGTTGTAGACGGTGCATGCTCCGACTACAAGCCTATTAACGCTGGTGTTCCACAAGGCTGCGTGCTATCACCAACGCTGTTTCTTCTGCATATCAATGATATGTTGCAAGCCGGTAGCATTCATTGCTATGCGGATGACAGCACTGGTGATGCTCTATACACCGGCCGTGCCAATATTTCTCAGGAAAACGTCACTGAGTACCGGAACAAATTTGTGTCTGAAGTCGAGTCTTTGCTGGACAAAGTCTCGGATTGGGGGCGACAAAATCTAGTCCAGTTTAATCCTCAGAAAACACAAGTTTGCGCGTTTACCGCTAAAAAGAACCCCTTTGTCGTATCTCCTCAGTTTCAAGGTACTCCCCTTGTTGCCTCAGCCAGTATCGGAATCCTCGGCGTCGACATATCGAGTAGCGTGCAGTTTCGTGGTCACTTGGAAGAGAAGGCCAAATTGGCCTCTAAAAAGCTTGGCGTGCTCAGTAGAGCGGGACAGTATTTCATGCCGGCTCAACGCCTGCAACTTTACAAGGCGCAGGTTCGGCCTCACATGGAATACTGTTCCCATCTCTGGGCTGGGGCTCCCCAGTGCCAGCTCCTTCCACTTGACCGCATCCAGCGCAGAGCGGCTCGAATCGTCGACGACCGAGTCCTTTCCGATCGGCTCGACTCATTGGCACTGCGAAGAGATGTTGCATCTCTTAGCATTTTCTTTCGCATTTACCATGGGGAGTGCTCTGAGGAATTGTTCGGATTAATCCCAGCCGCCAAATTTCACGAACGCACATCGCGGCAGAACTCCCGATACCATCCACACCATCTGGATGATTGGCGGTCCACCACTGTGCGATTTAGAAGATGTTTTCTTCCTCGCACAACTTCCTTGTGGAATAGTTTACCACCAGCGATTTTTCCGGACCGATACGACTTAGGGACCTTCAAGAAAAGAGCCTACTCCTTTTTAAAAGGCCGGCAACGCATCTGCAATTCCCCTGGTGTTGCGGTTGTTCATGGGCGGCGGTAGTCACTTACCATCAGGTGAGCCGCATGCTCGTTTGCCCCCTCTCCTATAAAAAAAAAATTCTCTAGAGTTGTCAGGTGTGCCCTCCCATAAGCTTCAATTAAAATTAGGCGTCCCAGTCATGCTAATGCGAAATTTACATGCTCCTCGGTTATGTAACGGGACAAGGCTGCGTGTGACACATCTTGGACGGAACATAATCGGTGCTACAATTTTGACTGGCGTAGGAAAAGGTGAAAATGTTATTATACCACGGATCCCTATAATTCCCACAGATCTTCCTTTTCAATTCAAAAGGTTGCAGTTCCCAATTAACCTCAGTTTTGAAATGACAATTAATAAAGCGCAAGGGCAAACGTTACAGGTAGCGGGGGTCAACTTAGAAAAACCGTGCTTCTCTCATGGTCAGCTGTATGTAGCATGTTCGCGTGTGTCAAATGCCCAGAATCTCCACATTCTTTCCCTGAATGGAAAAACATATAACATTGTGTACAGTAGCGTCTTAAAATAGTGTTCAGTTAGTTTTTTTTTTCCAAAATTCCCACAATCAATTAATCAGAATTCCCACAGATCTTCCCTTTCAATTCAAAATTTCCTATTTAGCTTAGTTTCTTTTCAATTCCAAATGCTGCACCTCTGACGGACCTATTAAGCTCAGTTTCCTTTCAACTCAAAATGCTGCATCTCTGACGGATCTTTTATTTGGCTCAGTTTCCTTTCAATTCAGAAAACTGCATCTCTGACGAATCAATTTAGCTTAGTTTCTTTTCAAAAGTCTGCATCCCTGACGGATAATTATGCTTAGTTTCCTTTAATTTAAAAAATATCCCATTTCCATTTGGAATAAACAGGCTATTTTCATGCTGTCCTATACGCTGCGTTTCAAAACATTTAAATAGGCTGACGAATCAATTTTGCTCAGTTTCCTTTTAATGCCTGCATCTCTGACAAATCTATAAAATTCTGTTTTCTTTCAATTCAAAAAGCAATAGATAGTTCATTTCCCAGTGACCATGCGGGCGAAGCCGCGGGTAACAGCTAGTATTTTAAATAATTCATATTGAAATAAATATCCACAATAGTAGGTTATAAGTAATAGGGTTGTATCTACCAAGATGAACTTTTTAGCAGGAAAAGATTCCCACCTTCTAACTTATTAATCTGAAAATATTGAAGACTAAAAAGAGGCACAGCTCTGGTGACTTCTTAGTAAAGTATTTAATAATACTTTGTAATTTTAATGCGCAGTTTCAACAACTGTAATGCACATTAATTCATAGTGAAAAAGCATGAAGCATGATAAATTAATTTGTAACAGTTCTGTTCAATATATTACTTTGTGTTGAATACACCTCGCGTGGTTATCTCGTTAAGGTTGTTGGATTGAATAGAACTTGTCCTTGCCCTATTTGTATTCAGAGAGTGAAAATGTTTGTAGTTTACATAACATAATCAAGTTTTACTACGCTATGTGTATTCACAGTCCCGGAAATTCGATGATTTGATTAAACACTATGAATATTATTCTTAGTCTTAATCAGTGCATGTACAGCTATAAGGTGAAACATCATATGATAATCGTCTTTTGGATTTGGAGGGAATATCACGCCTCGGCAGTCTTGAAGGTACGGACTTGTCTATCCTTTAACTGCGCGTAGAGCGTAGACCATCCCCTGTGATTGAGTAAAGCCGTTCTGATTGGCTTGACTCACTGGCGCGT